CACTCTAAAGCTTCAATCTTGAAGAGTCTCAAAATGTTTAACACTTAAAAACCTGACATTTCCAAAAAGGAGTTTTTCTCTATAAATGGCAGAAAAAGACATAGTATTTTTCTAGCATTCCCATCTGATCCTAAACTAGTCATTTTAAGAAAACACTGATCTTTGAATGTTTTTGTTTAAAGCCATTTAAAGATCATTTCTAGTGAAGCTGGATATAGAAATAAGCTCATTAAGAGCGGTGCTATGGGTATTATTAAAACTCCACAATAGTCCATCGTCTCATGCGTACACAGCCTTGCATAACTGGAGATGTCAGCATTTTCATTGTAAATTCTGCTTTCAGAGGTTTCAAACTTGCCTGTAAAAAAAAGTTGCTATGGCCTGAAATTTGTTGCTATTTCCCTGCCAAAGAACTGTTTTAACATTAGGAAACTATGCATTCATTGGAGTTGGCCACAGGTTTGGGGTTTAAAAAAAAAAATATATAAAAAGAATAAAAACCTCACAGCTCAGCATCTTAGAAAGTTTTCTGGCTCAAAAAAAAAAAAAACAAAACCAAAAAATCCAAAACCAGACCCTCACTAAAGGAATCAAATTCCTAAAAGTTAATAATTATTATACCCCTTCAAAAAGCTTCAACTGTATGGCAGATAAGCCTAAAACATGCAATTATTCCTGCTACTTTGCAAAATAGTAGCCACACTGAGAGACCACTGACTCCCAGAGTCTCATCAACACAGACTGGAAATAACAACCCTACCCATGCCCAATTAGTTTGAAGCTCAAGACCATGCCCCTGCTAAAGGGCTGCAGATTTTAAACACAGAATGGACACATTAAGACTGATTTAATCTGGCTGCTTGTACAATTCCCCAGCATCTCAGCTAGCAAATCCTGTACTGGGCCAAATAACTTACTGAACCGGATCCCTGAGAGGGCATCCAGCCCTCACCCGAAGCTGTGGGGATGTCACATTCCTCCATAATGGGCTTTAATAATTGCCCTTCCTTGAAATAAAATTAAAAGGAAAATAAATTAAAAAGATAAAGCTGACTCTGAATTAAGTAATCTGTTTGAATTCATAATTTAACTTGCAGATATCAAAGCTGCTGTTTAAGAAAGAAAAAGCCAAACCAAAACAGTCAGAAGGGAGCCCTGGGTGAACCATTAGCTTTATTTTTTCCTGCCAAACTAGAAGCAGCATTCTGGTGATTCTACACCACCTCTGTCCCAGGAAAATGATGGATTGGATGTGCAGGGTCCCCCCAGCCCTGTGACCTCTCAGCAGGGTGGCACTGGCTGCAGAGCACCCATGGGGACACCCCAGGATCAGGAGTGGGACAGGGGACATCCCACCACCACAGCATCCCTCCTCCACACACTGGAGCACCTGACAAACCCCACATCCTGACCCAGGCAGGTCACAGCAGCTGAAGAAGGATCTCCAGTGCTGATCACTGTGACCACAGGTGACATTAACCTTTAAGCACTGCCAACATTTTTACAGAAATGAAGGTACGTTGCTCATATGACCCAACATTTTTGCAGAAAGGAAAGCAGTGTGCTGGACATACTTATTTTTGGATGTTATTTAGTGTCAGCAAGTGGCTATGACTGATTAAATCCCAAAGAAAAACTCATTACTCACTCCCACCACAAGCACACATCACCTATTAAAGGGGATCTCTCCCCTTCCTTGCTGCTCCTGGGAACCTCCCAAATATAGGACCATTCTGAGCTACTGTGTTTTCCACAGGACACAGAAATAGGCTGTCCCTCGTGGAAAGCTTAAATTAATCCTTTGAAATTTGACCTAAATCAAAAAACTGAAAAACGTTGCCACCACACCGGGCGGGGGCTCCGAGTGGGTGCTCCAAGGACGGCGTCAAGGCATTGGGAAAGAGACCAAATTAGCTACCCAGCAGGATGATAACATACAGCCTGGGCAAGAGGAGGTCAAGGGAGAGCTCACTATTTATCAAATATATGTCTAAACTAATTATTCAGTTCACAAAGTAGCCCTTCAACCCATGTGTGCGGTCAGAGCCCTTGTGAAACGCTGGCCATCATCAAAGGCCTGGGCACACACAGGCTGAGAGAATGGTGCCTTTGTACACGCTGGGGGAGGCTTATTTCTAAATATTTTGAAGCAGAAAAAGTCTTTCTGCTCCCTAGGACAAAAAAACATGTATGTAAACACTTGATGTGAGATATAATTTGAGAGCTGTCAGTCCCCACAGAAGTCCTACAGGTCCTGTTTGTGCTCACACAGCGCAAGAGGCTCAGGTTTCACCATCGCTGCTTGGGAATAAGGCACCACAACTGAGATCCAGCACGCTCAGGATCCCCAGTGAGCACCCACATTATCACTCACAACGGATCAAGATGCCATTTTCAGTGTAAACACTTTCACATGGGCCAGAGTAATATCCAATGGTCCCAGAGGGATATTTATTTACTCAGGACTGACTGACAGCACCTTGATGCACGACATCGTGCACATATCCCTGCAGCTGATCACCCTGCTAGATAAATACTGCTTGAACTAAAGCACACACTTTAGTATTTTTTATACATACCCAGATACTCTGAAGAAAATTATTGCAAGTGTCCCTAAAGTTATGTATAGCTGAGAGAAAGTATTTTCTCTGTTAGAACCAAAGGAACAAATCTCAATTCCTGTTAATGTTGTGTACAGCTTTTTCAATAGTCTTAGTCACTAAGATGATAAACAATAACGATACAAGCACCTTGTATTAAAAATAAATACATAAATACAGACAATTCAGGGCATGTCCATGAAGGAAGACTCAGGAACAGATCAGTGAGTGTCACCAAAGGTCATGGCCCTGCCGACCTTCTCAGCTGGCATGAAATGTCATAGCTCTAATGACTGCCCCATTGAAAATCCACATTATTAGAGCACCTGACCCCCCAAATTAGCTGTGCCCAAAATGTTTTGGCATTTACTACATTAAAAAAGAAGTCTGCTTTGTCTTTGAGGAGTTCTTTTGAAGGGTATTTTTCTGGTTTGGGCTTGGAGAGCTTGTGGATGGCAGTGATAGAACCCAGAGAAGGTGACTGTGTAAAAACTTGGTTTTCTTTTAGCTTGTTTTTTCATATCAAAGGGTTTAATGAAATACACACAGGAGGTTTTATTTCCCAAATCTCAGATATAAATCCCACACAATTCCCTGTATTCTGCAGCATAAAAACTCTTATTATGCCATTAACTTAGAAGTGTTTTCTGATTTTTTTTTTTTTTTCTAGTTTCTGGTAATGATTTGGGTTCTCACATCTAAAATTGTTTCACATCAGTAACATTCCTGCCCAGGAAATAAGTTTTAAATCTTTTTTAACAATTTACCCTTTGATAAAACCCAGATTCCACCCCCTAAATATTCAGTGTGTAAGAGACATATTCTCAAACTGTATTTTCTAAATAACAAAAGCTATTCTTTCCCTGAAAAGTTAAAAAGTTATCAGTCACCATTCAAAAAATATTACTCTTTTTCCCATAAAACACTTCACCAATCTTCAATCACATTCTTTCTGACTTAACCCTAAAACTAGGGGACCTTGCTACAAAGCTAGTCTTAAACCAGAATTATTCATGATTTTGAAAAGCCAGAAAGGCACCAGATGTTCAATTAACAAATTATACAGTAAGTGGCAACAAGAGTTGGGCTTGGTTTTTTTTTAATCTCAGGTTACCTTCAAAAGAAAAAAAAAAAAAACCAAACATTTTTTCTACCCACAATCTCTGTGGCTGACATATGACAATATTGCTGTTCCTTGAGAAATTTTTTCAGCAATGCTTGCTAGAGAAGAGGGCTCATCATCTCTAAATAGTTCATCCCCTGCCATCAATAAAAATGTACTTGGAGCAGATTCTAAAAATGCGTTAGCTGGTGACGTCTATTTTTAGAGGCAGCGTGTAGAAACAAGTTTTGCATGAAGAATTATTAAATAAAAACGAAGCTGCATCCATGGACATGAGTAGCAGAATGTGTAAAGGCCAAACTCTCTGCAGCAGTCTTGCCAGGTCAGAAATGCTCTGTGGACTATTAGATCAGCTTGACAGCTGAGTTATTAGAGCTGTGATCACTCCTCCAAAAGACAGATAGAAACTTATGAAAGAAGCCTCACTTCCTCCCCCTGATGCTCAGAGAGCAGGAATGACCCAGCACAATGCAGTAAAATCATGCTTCAATACAATCAGCTCACAACAATGAAAAAGCAGCCCCCCCCCGAGCTCTCCAGAGAAGAAAACCACTTTGCAGAGCTTGAGGAACAGATAAACCTAGAAGAACATACCAACAGGTGCAGACTCAAAATAGGAGATTTTATCAAAACACCTCTTTGAATGTGAAGGTCTAGACTGGCCTTTGCTCTCCCAGCAGTAAAGTACAGCCCTTCCATTGAGATCTCCAAATTTACACCTCCAGGACTTGTGATCCAGACACTGCACCACCGACTGTGCTTGGATATTAACAGCATCAGGGAAGTTTGTCCTGAGTAGAAACACCAACAAAGCTGCAACAGCATTTTTGCAGAGTGCCTGGCAAAACTAAACATTCACAAATAAAAACTACTGAGATTCATTTTTCTCTGGACTCCTCAGGTTAAGACAACCCCAAAGCCACTCATCCACTTGGTTCCTCGAGACAGCAAAACATAGCAGCACCCAAGTGCCACAGACTGGTTTCCTTAAAGACCCATTCCTGAAAACTTCCATCTGTACACTTTGATTATACAACGTGATGACAGTCCCAAGTGAAATCACTGACACCACTGGCTTGCACAAGAATAAACAAACGCACGCTTGTACAAACACAGCCCAGGCGAGAGCGGGGGAAGTCAGAAACCGTAACTCTCCAGGGCTGGTCTGTTACTTGCCTTAGATTTACCAGAGCACATGGAAAGATGTTGACTTCTAGTTCAGATGTCCACTTAAAATTAACTTCTTTTAAAGAATTAAGTATTCTAGAGCGATTTACCTTCGGGTTCCACCGTGGTGTCTTCAACAACTAAATTAAATGAAGGTCGAGCCAGGGAAAGTCCAGCCATGGTGACCACCACCAGGCAGATAAGGCAACCCGAATCCCAGCTGACCATCTTTTTAGAGTAAATTCCTGGTCCATTTCCATATCTCCATGTGGACTTTAATCCCATCTGAACACCTCTAGAGAAGCATGGAGAGAAAGCCGTGCCTTCGGCCAGGGTAATGCCTCCTCCCTTGGAACGACGGCTGCTGCTGCAGGGAGGAGAGAGATTTAACACTGTCAGCAAAAACATCTCCAAACAAACCAAAAACCTTCATAAAGCCTCAAACAGAGCTGAGGTGAGAGGGAGGGGAGGAGGAGGATGGGAGAAATAGTTTTCCAGCTTCAAGAATATGTGAAAAGTGAGTGACTTTTCATCTTCTGTTAGCAGTTTCCATCATCACCTGAGGCGTAACCAAGTCCTCCTTGTTTTCACAAAATCACTTCTCAGCACATATTGAGAGCTATTTTACTGACAGAAAAACATACAGGATTTCAAAAATGAGGGGCACACACATGTGCAGGCACATAACCTGTAATGCTACAAAATTACCACAATTATACAAATTATATTCTTGTTATTGTTTGAAAGTTTATGTAAGTTTGCCTTGTTTTTCATTCCTTCACCTAAGCAGTTCTGCAGCCAGATGAATTTGCAGGAATCCAGTAATTTTCCACAACTAAAATTGAAAAATATACTCCTCAGGCTTGGAAAAATCTGTAAGAATATTTCAACCCAGGACTTCCAGCTCCCCCATGGATATAACTTTTACTGACTCAGTTTGGTGTCCTTTGGAAGCCCCTGAGTCCTGGACAGGTGAAAGGCTCAAGTCTTTGCAGTGATATTAGTTTTCTACACTGCATTACAGACAATTAAAATCTATATAAAATATGACATAGATTGTAGTTTCACAGGAGACCTGCCCAGCATCACTTTGCATCCACACATGCCAAGCTGTGTGCACAAACTTTTCTTTCCTCAGTCTCTCAATAATGCTTATTGAGATATATTTTTCAAAAGGGGGGGTGGGGGGGAAGTCTATTTGATTCACAATAAAACATGTTTAAATGGATGGAGTTAAGTGATAATCCAGGCATGGTCTGACAGAGAAGTGGCACCAAAGGAACTGGCACTCCCTTCAGGGGACCCTGTTGCCTCTACACAGAGATGCCAGGTGAGGGTCAGGAGAGCATTCTCCTCACAGGGTGATTTAACAGCTCAAGCAGAAAATTAGACCTGATTTTCCGCTTCAGAAATAAAAGACGGTAAAACCTCAGTAAATGGATAAAACAAGTAACTGCAGCAATTGTTCTAATCTGGTCAATGATTCATCTTAGATGTGATGAAACTCAACTGAAATATGGAGAGCTCTTGTCTGAAAGGGGAAAAAATAACACAAAACCTCTTTTTCCCTCCTGCCCTCACCACTTGAAAATTTAAAAATAAAATAAAAAAATAAAAAGGAAGGGAGTGTGGCTCTAAAGTCAAACTTCTCCAAACTCCTTGTCATTGGGATTTGGTGTGGTATCTCAGCATGCAGAAACAGGAACACAAAATTCTCCTCTTATAAAGCCAACCACTTAAAAAGTTGATTCTGACTTCTATTAGCCTTGTGCTAGCTGCTACAAAATTCACAAATGCTGTTGAGAGGCATCTTTTGTCTTGGGTACTCTACACAGTAACTACTGGAGTTGGTAGGAACAGGTTTTGGATGACATAAAGAAGTCACTCGAGGAAAAAAAATTAATACATGTTATCCCAGGTGAATCCCTGCTACTTCAGGGCAAGCTTTTTTCACCTCCGTGGGTATCATCTCAAAGCCCTGTCCCTCCTGTAGAGATTCCAGCCTGGCTCCAGCATCCCAGACCACAAGCTAGCAACTACCATTAAATTTTCAGTGAAAACACCACCAGACCACTGCACAAACATTTGCAAAGAGCTCGCCCAGCCCTTCTCTAAATAAGCACAGAGCAGGTGTAGAGCTGAAGAGGGCTCTGTCTTTGGGACCAGGTTGTGTCTGGAGCAAACCCCCCTGGATGCCACCACCCAGGTCCGCTGCCCACCTCGCTGTCTGGCAGCCACAGCCCTGCAGCTCAGTTTATCCAGCTGCAAAGTGGGTAGAAACCCCTAATCAACAGCCTGGATGTAATGCTGATTTAATTTCCATAAATCATCCTGTAAACTTCGATTAAAGTCTGTGTTGATAAATGCAAAATCCTATCACGGTTTTGCGGAAAGAAAACATACCAGAACGCCAGCATGTATTTCAGACTCCAAGAGCATTAATTCCACTGACAGTCCTGCAGTTTCAGATTTTCAGACTACATTAAACGCCACTGAAAGCACATTTGTGGTTCCCATCCTCATCCTAAATCCTGAAGCGCGGCACGGGGCTGCTTGGCCACGCGTCTCCTCACCTGAAGATTTTTGTTGGCTCCCGCACCTCAACATCTGCCGGCATAAAGAAGGGATTCTTCATCCACAGAGCAGCAGCAAACTCAAAATCCTGGCTTGCGAAGGTGCAACAACACAAAAACCAAAGCTCTGCACCCATCCATGGAGCCAAACTACTCTTTACCACCAGGACAGCAAACAGGCTTCAAGGATTGCCCTCTCCCAAAAGAAGTGGAGTCCAGCGAAGATGAAACGAAACCAAATTCTTCTCATAGTTTAATTGCCACAGTTGCTGGGGGACGAGTCCCTGGAAAGACCTCCTGTGCTGGATAATTATGTACCTCTATCTCAATGTTTGGAACACAGCCCCAGCATGCTTTTTGGCCTCCACAATTCTGGCTTCCTGACTACAATACCATAATCCCTCCTGGAGTCTCAGACTCAGTGAAAGCCACACGTAGTGTTTATTTTTCCCCTTGAAAGGGAACTCTGTCTCTCTTCTCAGCCTACACTTTGGGGAGGAGTTGTCAGCCCCCAATGATTGATGGCTCTCCTTGCCACTCGCTCATCAAGTCAATTTTCACCTCGTCACATACCTGCCCAAATTTTCTTTGCCAAACTGACAAGCATGGGAAAGCAGACTGGTTTGGGAGCCCAACCAAATTCCTCCAAGCTGTACTTCAGTTTAAACACACTCGCACACACAAACAAGTAGTACTTGTTCAGCAGTGGCATTAATTAAATTCAATGCTCAGTGTTCTTTTTAATCTACTTGCATTGTTGTTTATAAGATGTTTATCACTCCCCAGGGACAGCACGATTTGTAGAGTATGTTAACCAAATCAATACATTGCTCATGGTAGAACTTTTCAGCATCTTTCTCAATCAGGCGGGGAACAGCAAAATCTGAGTGAAGTATGCATCTTCCCTCCACAAAGAAACCTCAAGCGCTCTAAAAGCCCAGCAGCTTCATCAGAAACATCCAGGTAGATGAAGTTTTAAAGCTAATAAGCTTTATATACCTACACAATTCCACGGAGAGAGGAATTCTGTACAGACAGAAAATGCAGAAGCATACATCCGTCTATAAAAATACATATACACACATATATCTAACAAGACTTTTCAGCAGGGTTCAATCTCCAAGCAAATCTGAGCATCACAGCTATTAAACATTAATTCTGGAGGACTAATGGGAACCGGCTGGCAGCTTCAGTACTTTTTCATTGTTTGAACTTCTTTCATTTGCTTTCCAGGACTATCTTGTTTTTCTCAAGTCTTTTGCCACCAAGAGATCGGGGAGGGGGGAAAAAAAAAAATCTGCATTTTAATTGACATTCCAGAGAGCGGGAGAAGTCCAGAGGCTGCTGATTGCTGTCTATTCAGCCCAAACAGGCTTTTCAGATGAAAATGAGAAAAGGCTAGTGGAAGATTTACAGGGATTTGGTACAAAGGAGACAATGAAGTTTTAAATGTTGATAGCGTTTCACACCAAACGCATAATGGGTCCCAGTTTGAAGGGGCCGTTTTGCATTTAAATATATATTTCATTGACGATTTCTCTCCGCACTTATCTCGGCCGGGGCGGTTGTGCCCCGCGGCCCCGCTCCCGCAGCACGGCGGGGCAGGACCGGGCTCCGAGCCGGGGCTGCTCCTCCGGGACCGAGCCCCTTCCTCGGCCCGTGCTGCCCGTCCCGCTGTCACCGCTGGAGCCATCCCCAAACACACCCGTGCACCCACGGGGATGCGGGGAAGGCAGGGGAACAGCGCTGCTGCTCGGGCTTCCCCCGCACCGCAGCGCCGACCGGGGACCACAGACCGACCCGCAGCTTCATCGGGGAGCAGAACGGAGCCTCGCATCGGCACAGCCTGCCCCGGGCACCCCCGAGCCCTGCGCCCGGGTACCCCCGAGCCCCGCACCGGGCACCCCGATCCCTGCGCCCGGGTCGTCCCCGAGCCCCGCGGAGCGCTGGAGCGCCGCGGGACCCCCAGCCCAGCCCAGCCCAGCCCCGCCGCCTCCCCGGGGCCGCCCCTTCCCCCGGCCCGCCCGCTGCCTTTACCTGCGGCGAGAGCGCCGGGCGGGCGGGCTCGGCTCGGCGGCGGCTCCCGGGCTGGGGCGCGGTGCGGAGCGGCGGCTCCCGGGACGGGGCGAAACTCCGGTGGCGGCGGCCGCGGTCACTGCGCGGGCGGCCTCGGCTGGCGAGCCCGCAGCGGCGCAGCGCCGCGCATCCCCCGCGGGACGCGCCCGGGGCACGCAGGAGGGCGGCGAGGCGAGGCAGGAGCCGGCCCGGCGCCCCGTCCCGTGCCGTGCCCTGGCTCGGCCGCAGCGGCTACCGCCTCAGAGGGGCGAGCCCGCCGTGCCCGGCGCCAGCTGCCTCCTCCCCCGGGCGGGCATCGCCGAGCAGCGCGCCGCGGGTCCCGCTCCGCTCCATCCAGCCGCCCGCCCCGAGCCGCCGCAGCTTTGTCACGCCGACAGCCCCCTCGGGTGGGAGGTGGGTTCTGTCTCTCTCCCCCCTTTCCCCCTCTCGGCGCACTCCTCCGGCTCCTTCCTCCTCCCCCGGTCACTCCCCCCGCTGCAACCCGAGCCGTTTCCTGGACGGCGCTGCCGGGCTCTGCCAATCGCCGCCGAGCCCCTTCCCCCGCCCGGCCCTCGGAGGTGCTCGGCCGGGAGCCCCCACCCTGCCCGAGGGTCCTGGCACCGGAGAGGGGCAGGAGCGGAGCAGGGGACGCCTCGCTCCGGCCGCTGCCTGCCCGGGGCAGCGGGACAGCCCGTCCCAGAGCCACCGCTGGGCTGCCGGGGAGGAACCCCGCACAGCTCCCGGACGGCCCCGCCGCTGGAAGTTTTCCAGCGGGTTTGAAAGGAAAGATGGGGAGCGCGGCAAGTACCGCCGCAGTGGCTGAGCCTGGGCTGCGGCACCGCCACCGCGGCACTGGGCAGCATCTGCATCCTCACACAGAAATGGTACCAGCTCAGCAGCGGTCCCCGAAACCTCTCCTGAAGTGTTTCGGGCTCAGAAGCCATGGCTGGCTCGTGGTCAGTTCCATCTAGAGAGGATGGCTGGATAACGCCCGCTCCAGAAATCACCCTCAGGAGCCTCTCAGTTCAAAGCCCGATTCCAACTGCCCCGTGAATTGGTCTGACAGTGCACTTTTAATACCTGTCTGTGTGGTGCCCAAATGGGAAAAGTTGTCGGAAAGTTATGCAAACATCATTTGTTTGGTCACACAGATCTAAAACTGCATAATATAGGTATTCAGAATTCAATATAGCTTAGCCTGATCCTTGCTTAATAAAACATTCGCTTTAGATACCGTCAACTAAAAGGTTTTGGATATGGAGTCTGTGTAGTGCTTGCTTGTGTAGAGTCAGCTTGACAACAAAATCAATAAGTGGTTGTTGCCTCAAATTTAATCAGTGTTGATCAATTTAATGTTACTTTATTTAAGCTCTACTGTACATTTTATATGTTGTGTGCGGTATTGATCAAGGAGATTTTCAAGGACTGAGGCCACACATCATAGTGTAACACAACTAGACACCAAAAACTTGAAAACAAGTTTTCTGTAGGATATGTGCTTACCGCCCAGCATGTATTTTCCCACCACTACCGCAGTCTTTATCAAGGATGGCAGACAAATTTGTAATTGATTGAAAACACAGGTTTAGTATTTTTTTTGTTGTTGTTGTTCCTAAAGCAACAGGCATCTGAATGTTCTAATTGAGAAGCTGAAATGTCACAGTCTAGATCCAATTTTCCCAGCATCAGGCATGTCCATTGCCCATTGAAAACATTGTTAACACATTCTCACATAAATTATTGTCCAGCACAGGAAGCTGCAATACCTTTCCCCATTCATCGATATCTTTGGATACTCTGAAAGAAAAGGAAGCATTCCACTAAAAATGACAAATCAGAACACCTATTTCCAAGGTCTGGAAGCACTTGTCAGAATTTATTCTTTTGGAGGATGAAAAGATAGCAGTCTATCAATAGCAGCCTTTTCTCTTACATGAGCCACATTCTCCTAAAGTGTCCCACAACAGCCCAGCTCCTCAATCTGAGAAAAGCAGAAGCATGTTTGGAATTAAAGGGGTGGTGGGGGGAGATCAATTCTGTCATCATATTTAGGCTTCAAGAGATCTCAGTGGGCCCAGGGAGCCTTTCATAGCAGTTAGGCTGCTGAATGAGAGCATAATCTCTTTACAGTTTTTTCCTCCTCCTCTCAAAGTGGCTGGGATCTTTTCTGTGAGCCCTCCTGCACGTGAATGGTGTGGCTAATAAGCCTATTAATGAGGTTCCACAGCAGAGTGTGAATAGGTAAATAAGCCCCAATCTGTTGAGGTTCAGGAGCAAGGGCAGTAAAGCCATCATGAACTAAAGGTGACAGTTTGAACTGAAATAGGAACAACAGCTCCAGGTTTCAAGCGAGAGAATAGACAGACAAGGCACACATTCAGGCTCCTTCTACCCCCTACCGAGTCCTATTTTCTCTCCCATTCTTCCTCCTTTATAAAATGTCTTGAGTAGTCACCCATTTTTTCAAAAGCTCTTGAGACGTCCTTTTTCATCCTGGCAATGATACATCAATAGGGAGGAAGGAAAATGAGGACACCAATGCTCCTTTGCCCCTCAAGTTTCAAAAGCAGGAACAGCACTGTGTGCCCTCGCATATGGAAGCGGGGGAGGAGAAAGAAAGTTAAATTGAATCTTTCAGCCCTGCCAGCTCTTTGTCGCTGCTGTCAGCCCAACTCCGGTCCCTGTGCACGCAGGCAGGGATGCAGTTAATGTTCAACAGGGGCAGGGTCCGAGCCCTGCTCCAGCTGCGGCGAGGGCACAGCTGGGCTCAGCCAAATCCCCAGCGAGGGGCACGCAGAGGTGAGGAGATGGATTCATTCGACGCCTTTCACCTGGCGGGCTAAGGGGAAGCTGTGCCTGGCTTCAGGCTGCTCCTGGGCTGCAGCCAGCAGAGCCCGGCTCATCCATGAAAGCCCAGCTCGGAGGGATGAAGGCAGAAGGTTCAGCAGGTGACAAACAGCTCGTGTCTGCGGAGAGATGGGGTGAGATGGGCAACCAGTGCCTCCGAGAAATGTGGGAAAAGTCACCTCGGAAAACAGCGCAGCGCACAGCTTCTGAGCACTCTCAGTTCTAATCCCTGCGGACTCTCTGACATTTCTTTTAAGTGCTGGAGATATCAGGGCAGCCAGGGCTCCACGGGAAGCGGCTCCTCCGTGGGATTCCAGGCAGGAGGCAGCCCCAGCTCCTGGCACGGAGCAGGCAGATGGCAGGGGAGGCCATGGGTACCCCGGGGAAGCAAGTTCTGCAGCACAGATCCATCCTCCAGCTGCAGGACCTGCTCACACGGCACAGTTCTAACTGATGAAAATAGGAATAAAATACAGGGGGAAAAAAAAAAAAAGAAAGAAAATAAAAGCCACATATTCAAGTCTTAGAGGTCTATGAGGAGAAACCTTCTAGATCCACATTCAACCACACACAACACCGAGGGTTTTCTCCATGAAGGACAGTGGAAATCAGCATTTCTTCCCTGTTATTCCAATTGTCCCATCCAAAAATTTCTCCTGCCCATGCTAGATATGATTAAATGCTTGTCTAAGATTTTTCTTTTTTTTTTTTCTTCCTTTAAAGTTCTTCCAGAGCTAAGTGTCTAAACCCAAACATTGCCAGCTAAAATATTTACCTGTTTTCCAAAGTGTTTATGGTTCTCTTTCTGGGCAGCTTCGAACTTTTTTTAGGGTACCAAATCATAGGAACCCACTTTTGATTATTTTTTTTTTTCAAAGACAGGCAGAGCTTCTCTATAGATTTTTCAGTGTCTTAGGAAAAAGTCATTTCATACAAAAACAACCCTATTCTAAAATAAAAGCTACAACAGAGAAGCTTCCATCACTACTTCTCACCAAGTATCACTTCAAGATGCTGTTAAACTGACAAATTGAGATAACAATTAATTATTTTAATGCAAATATATCCAATAATTATCCATGAAAGTGTGAAGCAGATGGGCTACCAATTTCTTTTGCAGCCAAATGTGTATGGGAAGAGGGGGCTGCAGTTCCTAACCCATTGAGGGGTGCTTATCACACAAGAAAACCTCATTTTGGTTAAGCTAGAGAGAAGGGGGCAAATTAATTGATTCTGTCTAACAATTTTTGATCGTTCTCTGCATTATGAACAGCTGAATATTCTAGGAAATACTTCTTCAGGCACTAAGGCCAAACAGTTGAGAAAAAAATCTTATTTTCACTGCTGCTGTGCCAATGTCTTGTAATGGCATTTGAGTATCAACACTCCCCTTGGATTGTTATGCCTCATAGCCATGTAACCTTTCTGCTGCTCCTCTCATTTTCTGTGTCTTAAGGAAAATATTCCAAACAAATATTTGTTGTTTTCATTACAGTGTTGTGAGATATATTTGAACAGGAAATGTGGTGTGTTTTGAGCAGGGTATTACACTGGGATCCTGGACATTCAATGATTTCTGCCCTTCTCCATTGGCTTTCCTGGGAAAGGCACTTAATTTGTCTGTGTCCAAGCTCTCCAGCTATGTCTCCTGTCATCCTGTCTTCCTGTCTCCCACCCCTTATCCAGTTCATCTCTTTAGATGGTAAGCTCCTCATCTCTCACCATGTTTTTATGCATGGCTTAGAACAATAGGACACTGATCTCAGCTGGAACCTCCAGGCACTTCCATAATGCAAATATTGAATACTAAATAATCAAAATAAAAGAAAATCCTCAATTTATTATGTGTTTCCTCATAAAGAATTTGTCACACGCTGTCCTGGTAGAGCATCCCTGGTTCTCGGGGAAGAGTATCACTTCTAAAAGGGTGGAAAGCAGCATCCACTGGAGAAGATCTTTTAGCAATGAGCTCCTTTAGAGTAGACTGCAGAGAAACCCTGTGAATAAACTCCTTCTGATTGCTGAGCAGGGCACAGCAAGACACAGCCAGAATTGTAAAAACCAGAAGACAAAGGCTGCAAAGAAAATTTCTCCTTCTGTTACAGAACTTGGGTATATTTTGCTTGTTGGCCCAAGCACTTCTCATTT